GTTATGGATGGATCTTGTTGCGGCATTGCCCCTATCGTCAAAGGCGGCAAAATGGTCCTAACTGGGCGTGCGTCGCTCCTTCCCGGGCTTCGGCTTCTGTGGCTCGTCGTTTCCCTATTATCATTTAAGTCTTGCCTACGATTTGGCCCACGGGGGCACCGCATTCGCAAATGACTAGGCGAACCACACAAGTAACAAGAACGTCTCCTCCTCGAGCGCATGCTGAGGTGCCGGGGCTCCGGTAATTCGGAGTGATCTAAATTGTTCGTTATTATTCCGGACACTCCCCTTTGGACCGGGGGCGATCTACTGTTTCGGCGTATTGGAGGCGAATGGTCTATTATGCTTCGGTAATTCAAAGGCGAGATCGGTCGCCCATCCTCATTAACATATCCTCGATAAATACTTATCCTAACGGTTAAATTCTCCCAATATATGCACCGATGCCTCCCCGACATTCTTTTTTAAGGAAAAGGTATAATATATAAAAAAAAATTAATAACAGTTTTCACTCACTTTTCTTTTGGGTCAAAATGAATAAATACAGGAAAATTTTCTTTAACAAAATTAACAATTATAAAAAAAAAATTTTAATTTTGCATTTGTAAAATTTCCCTTTTAACGCCCAATTATTGGAACCTTCCTTGTTTGTGTCTCGCTTCCAACTGTCATTGCCGAAATTTTTTCCGTGTTTCAGTCCAACTTGGAACCACTTTTTATTTGTTTCCTAGTCCAATTGTCACTCCTTTTTATTCTATTCTCCAATTATATACAAGTTCTATTTCCAACTTTTGATTTACGATCCCGGCATCTCTCAAAATTATCCCTTACTTTAATTTATTACTTTGGTTAACATATCCAACATTTTTAACTTTTTGTGCATCATTTATTGGCACTCTAATTAAGTTCCCCCTTTTTTTTAAAAAAAAATACTCGCTTTATTCCCCGAATCACGAAATCATTGACTAACTGATATCATTGATATTTATTTTATTTTCTATTAAATGTGATGTAATCCCGTAATTGTGGAGGTATTAATATCTCGGGTTAATTATCATTATCGATTTTTTTTTTTAAATTAAATTTGATTTAATCTCGGAACTGCGGAGGTATTATCATCTTGGGTTAATTATTAGTATTATTATTTTCTATGTGCTTTAACTCGAGAATCACGAAAGTTTTTTTTTTTATATATATATATATATATATAGCCCCTTAACCTCCAACATTATTAGCACCGGTTACCATTATTATTATTGATCCCCCTTTTTTTTTAAATTTGATTTAATCTCGGAATTGCTGAGGTATTATCATCTTGGGTTAATTATTATTATCGATTTTCTTTTTTTTTATTAAATTTGATTTAATCTCGGAACTGCGGAGGTATTATCATCTTGGGTTAATTATCATTATTAGTATTATTATTTTCTATGTGCTTTAACTCGAGAATTGCTAAGATATCTATCCCTCTCTCCTCGCCGCATCATGGCTAGATTTCAATCTTTCAGACTCTACTCTCTTCCGTATCTGTTCTACGTGTCTAACTCCTTCCTTTCCGTCCACGAATTTTACTCTCACCATTTTATGCCCCATGTTCTGTATAATTATTCCTGACTCCCATTTTCGGGTACCTCCAAAAATTCTCGCCCATACGGTCTGACCATTCACAAATTCACACTGATTATCCATTGAATTTTCCTCCTGCGCCGGTTTGGGTCTTAAGAAATCCAACTGAATACGAGTTCTACGGCCCAAAAACTTTTCTGCTGGGGACAATTCCTCTCCCTTTCGACTATTGTTATAATACGCAATCGCTATCCAAATCTCTCCACCCCCATATTTCGACTTCCTCAACCAACTCTTTACCACCGCCACCATCCTTTCCGCCTGCCCATTCGAGCTTGGGTGGTAAGGAGGTGCCAAAATGTGTCTCGCCCCAGTTTCAGTACAAAAAACTTTAAATTGTTTACTTATAAAAGCGGGTCCTCCATCCGACACGACTATTTCCGCTACCCCAAACTTTGCCCAAAGATCTTTTAACGTCTTAATTACCACTTGCGTTGTTAACCCCTTTACTTCTTGATACTCTACCCATTTTGAGTAAGCGTCCACTACGAGGAGATATATTTTATTTTCGAAGTCGAAAAAGTCTAAGTGTACTCTTTCCCATGGTTGAGTAGCCCTAGGCCAAATACTTTTCTTGTCCTTTCGAGGCATACTTGCCCATGAATTACACATTTCACAACTTCTCACCATATTCTCGATTTCTTTATTCATGCCAGGCCACCATACGTATTCCCGCCCCCATTGTTTCATTCGTTCCATACCCTGATGTCCAGCATGGATCATTGCCTTTACTGCCTCCCGCAATCTGGACGGCACCACTCCCCGACTTCCTCGTACCACACACTCGTCCACTATCGTTAGCTCTTTCTCCACTTGCTTGAACTTCTTGTCCCCATCTCGCCATTGCTTCCGACCCAATATGCACGCTTTGATTCTCGTCAACTCGCGATCTTTTAAAGTAGCATTTTTGAGTTGTTCCCATGCAACTGGTCCTCCTTTAGATATTCCGACTATCGCTCTAATCAACCCGTGCTCATCCTCTTCATCCATATCTTTCGACCTACTCGTTTCGCAATCCTCTCCCGCTCCACATCTAGAAAGAATATCCGGTAAGTAATTTTCTCTTCCTCGTCGGTATTTCACTTGCACGTCGAAACTGCCTACCAGCAATAGCCATCGCTGCAACCTAGGCGACAACATGAGCTCCTTGTTGTCCTTTCTGAAAAGATGAACCAAGGGCTTGTGATCCGTATATATGACAAATCGACGTCCGATCAAGTATTCCCGACATTTAGTCAATCCAAATATAACCGCTAGCGCTTCTTGTTCGATCACTGAATATCTTGTCTCGGCCTCTCTAAAGATTCTTGAGAAAAATAAAATAGGTCTCTCCAATTCGTCTATACAATGTAATAGCGCTCCACCCACACCCCTATTCGAAGCATCAACGGCCAATATCACTGGCACATCGTTATCAAAACACACTAGTACTGGTTCCCTTCCAATCCTCAATTTCAACTCCTCAAAAGCCTCCTCCTGTTCAATCTTCCATTCAAATCTTTCTCCTTTCTTTAACAATTTATACAACGGCGCCGCTATCTGCGCGAAGCCTTCCACAAAACGGTGATAATAATTCACCATTCCCAAGAAAGCTTGTACTTCCACTTTATTATTAGGCTTCAACATGCTTGTTATATTTGCCATATTTTTGTCTAAAGGTCTGACCTCTTTCCCATTGATTTTATGCCCCAAATATACGATTTCTGATACTCCCAACACACTTTTTTCAACGCTTGCCCGCAATCCTTTATCCTTGATCCTTTTGAACACCTCCTCCAATCTTCGTTCGTGTTGCTCGGGAGTCTTTCCCATCACTAATACGTCATCCATGTAGTAAAATACTCCCTCTAGTCCTTGAAAAACTGCCGCCATCGTTCGTTGAAAAATTGGAGCCGACACGCTAAGTCCAAACGGCAATCTACAGAAGGCATACAATCCCTTCGGAGTCGTGATCGTTAATAGCTTTTGTACCTCGGGTTTCACCTTCAATGGTAAATAAGCGTTCGAAAAGTCCACCTTTGAAAAATATATGCTACCCCTTAAATTAGCTAATATTTCTTCAATCCGAGGTAACGGATATTTTATCTCCACAACCCACGGGTTTAGCGTGACCCGAAAATCAGCGCATAAACGAAGCTTTCCATTGGCCTTCTTCACGGGTACTAACGGTGTTGCCCATTCGCTATATTCCACTGGACAAACAATGCCCTTCTGCACCCACTGCTCCAATTCCTTGTCTACTTCATTTCGCCATTCGAACGGTATCCGACGTAATGCACAAAACTTGGGCACATATCCCTCCTTTAATTTGATATCCACTTCATAATCTCGGAGACAACCCAACTTCTCATCAAAAATCTCCTTGTAATTTTTCATCAAGTTTCTCACTCCCTCTTGTACTTTGATCATACCAAATTCTATCTCTCTATCCCGCAATTCCCTCTCTTCCAGTCGTCTCGTTTCCTTTCCATCCATTTCCATTGGTTGGCTATGTGTTCCCTTAGTATTTCCTTGTTCCAAATCATCATCTTCTCTAGTCTCTTCTTCTGGCAACATTATTTTCCCATCTGCCAATCTCTCCAGCTCCGCTTCAAACTTTCCTTGATCATGAATTTCTTTCTGTTCTTCAGTATCATTTCTTTCTTCCTTTCTCCCAAAGTCGCGACAACTCCTAAAATTCTCTCCAATACCTCCCCTAAAATTCTCCCCAATACCTCCCCTATAGTTCCCCCCAAAACCTCCCCTATAATTCTCCCCAATACCTCCCCTAAAATTCCCCCCAATATCTCCCCTATAGTTCCCCCCAAAACCTCCCCTACAGTCTCTAACAACCCTATTATCCTCTCTTCTCCTTTCCCCATCCAAAAAGGTTTCAATTCCTGGCAATCTCTCTCCATACCACAAATTCATATCTCTATTTTCTTCATATCTTGCAACAGGTAAAAATACACCACACCATGCGAATACCCCCCAAAAACCACAATCTGGACCAATTCGGGTGATCCAATCCCATCCCACTACTGACTCTACTTTTCGATCTACTATCCATAAGTCCAAAATCTCCACTCTATTCTCTAATACCACCTTTAACTCCACCCTTCCCATCACTGCGACTTCTGATCCATCCAACTGACGGATCTTGATGTCCTCCCGTTTAATTATCCCCAGTGTCTACATGGCCGGGGGGGGTAGGAGACAAATGCCTCCAAAAAATATTGGCATTTTGGGGGGTAGGTATTAATTTTGGGGGGTAGATATTGATTTTTGGGGGGTAGGCATTTGTTTTTGGGGGGTAGGTATTGATTTTTGGAGGGTAATTTTTGACTTGTATTATGATATTTTTAAATCCAATAATCGATATGATTATCGTTGATTTTCTGAAAAATGTCAATTAAAGAAAAGATATCTGTCAATTTATAAATATTATACACTATATTTATTTTTTTAAATTTTTAGAAAATTCATTTACATAATGGGATTTAGATTTTCACAGTATCAATTTTAAATTATCAATATATATTTTTTTATAATAAGGACCTTTTGAATAAAGAATCCCTTTTATGATAAGATAATCCTACTCAATTAACAATATAAAGAAACATTTTTGGATTTTAAAAAGGTAATTTTTTAAGCATATAATTGCATTTTCCTTAATTTGATGATAGATAAATAAATATAATAAAGAATGAAGCTATTTTTATTTAATCTTAATATGTATACTTAATAAGTTATCTGGGTTTTGAACCATGGCAATTATTTTTGCTAATAATTTTTTAAATAATCATTTTCAATGGGGTAAATATTACCACATTTTTGTGAGGCAATCAGGTTGGACCCATAATTGATTTCTATTTATGATAAATGATTCTTTGAGGTAAGTGTAAATTATATACAAAATTATAAGTGAGAGGTGAAAACCATTGTGTGATAAAAAATTTGTTAAAAGAATTGATAAATTTTTTATTTCATTATTAGATAAATTTTATATAACATCAAATTTTCCATAATATATTTGGCCTTTTTTCTAAATATTTATAGAAATCTTGGGAGAATGAACAGATAATCTATTCCTCTCATTTGATTATTGATTTAAGAAAAGATTTCAATTAAATGAATTGACAAAGTGATTCCATATACTGAAATATTGTTTATTTTTGTTAACAATAAATTAAATTTTTGGATATGGCTTGGGAATAATCTTTGAAACCTATGATGTGGTTTGGGTTTGGATTTCCATTAAACATGAACTGGGCCTGAAAATTATTTTTACTTATGACCTAGGCTGGATGAAGAAATCAATGCCAGTGAAGGTCTCTAATTTCAATGATTAAAATATATCATTTCTCAGACTTTATTTGAAGATAAATGAATGGGCAAATCACAAATATGCCTGTTTTCAATTATTTGCAAAATTTATTAGGATTGTTAATTTAAAGAAACTATGATTTCAAAGCATCATACATTTCTAAAAATTGTTGGACACTAAGAAATAAAGAAATCAATTGTGAAGTGTATAATGGAGGAAATATTGATCCATGATTGTTTTGGCATAAATAACAAAAAATATTATATTTTTTGTGACCATGCATTAAGCTTACATATAATATAATAGGAATCTTTTAAGAAAACATTATCAAAAATATAAGTTAATAGCTGATAGTCCATTATGAATGACTGGTAATCAGAATTTTCTTCTTTATTCAATGATGGGTGCATAATAAATTTCCTTTATATGATGATGATTGAATCAGTAAATTTTTCATTATTTTTATAAAATATGTTAATAGAGTGTATATTTATGAATTTTAATTTAAAAACAATAAGGGTCTAGAATATATTTTTTTGATTATAAATTACAAATACAAATGAATAAGAATTTATTTTAAAAGATTTTAATATATTTTTTAGATTAAAAATATAATACAAATGAATAAAAATTTATTGTGCACATATATTAAAATATCTAAATATATATTTCTTTAATATATTTTGTAAAACCACTGGAAAATTTTAAAATTACACCCTCATTTAAACAAATATAAATTTAATTTCTGAATCACACCTCATAAGATAGGAGAATTTTAAGATTCAGCCATCCACCGTCAAATAAAGGATAAAATTATGATTCTCCATCATTCTTGATGGCCATCAGTGAGTAAAAAAATATTATCTAAATATTTATTTCATTTTTATTCTAGATGCCAAGTAACAAAACAATATATAAAGTCAAATGTGACTATATTAATTGTAAAACTTCTAAAATAAGAAGTGACAAAATAAATAACCATTATAAACATAAACATCCTCATGTCAAGTTATCTGATATCAAATTTACAAAGATAGCTATCAAAAAGGATAATAATTGGGTATCCTTAAATAAAGATATTCCATTCAATATCACAAATGGGGTTGAAACCAAGTTACAAAAAAAATCAATAACATCTTACTTCCAAAAAGTAATTTTTTATATATATTATTTTAATTCATGACAATAAATATAAGTAAAAATAACCTTAAATTTTGTGAATTAGTAGAAACCAATTCTTCATCTATAATTTGAGCATAATACTTTTAATTTTTATTAAAGATAAGATTTTTAATATATAGGTACATTTTTATTATGCCCTTTATCAATTTTGAAGGAAATAAATTATAAGAATATTTAAATATTTCAACTTTTGTTAAAAAAAAATTTATATATTATAATTAAGAATAAAATAAGTCATTTGCCTAAAATTTTCACTACTCTTTATTTAATAATTAGCACAAATCTTTTATTGAAGATTCCCAAATTATATTATCTCATACAATGCCCAGTTCCAGTGATCTGCTGATTTTGAATAATGAGGTACTTAATTTAAATAAGATTTGTTTTATAATTTTGAAGGGAATAAATGAGGATATTCAGATATTTTCATGAACAAATTTTAATTAATCTTTATTTAATAATTAGCTCAAATCTTTTACTGAAGATTCCCAAATTATATTATCTCATACAATGCCCAGTTCCAGTGATCTGGTGATTTTGAATGATGAGGTACTTAATTTAAATAAGATTTGTTTGATAATTCTGAAGTGAATAAATTATGAAATATTTTCCACTTTTCTATATCTTAATTAAGAATAAAATTTTTATTAAAATTAAGATTTTCATAAGTAAACAAATTTTAACCACTCTTTATTTAATAATTAGCATGAATCTTTTATTGAAGATTCCCAAATTATATTATCTTCTCATACAATGCCCAGTTCCAGTGATCTGCTGATTTTGAATAATGAGGTACTTAATTTAAATAAGATTTCTTTTATAATTTTGAAGGGAATAAATGAGGATATTCAGATATTTTCATGAATAAACAAATTTTAATTATTCTTTATTTAATAAGTAGCACAAATCTTTTACTGAAGATTCCCAAATTATATTATCTCATACAATGCCCAGTTCCAGTGATCTGGTGATTTTGAATGATGAGGTACTTAATTTAAATAAGATTTGTTTGATAATTCTGAAGTGAATAAATTATGAAATATTTTCCACTTTTCTATATCTTAATTAAGAATAAAATTTTTATTAAAATTAAGATTTTCATAAGTAAACAAATTTTAACCACTCTTTATTTAATAATTAGCATGAATCTTTTATTGAAGATTCCCAAATTATATTATCTTCTCATACAATGCCCAGTTCCAGTGATCTGCTGATTTTGAATAATGAGGTACTTAATTTAAATAAGATTTCTTTTATAATTTTGAAGGGAATAAATGAGGATATTCAGATATTTTCATGAATAAACAAATTTTAATTATTCTTTATTTAATAAGTAGCACAAATCTTTTACTGAAGATTCCCAAATTATATTATCTCATACAATGCCCAGTTCCAGTGATCTGGTGATTTTGAATGATGAGGTACTTAATTTAAATAAGATTTGTTTGATAATTCTGAAGTGAATAAATTATGAAATATTTTCCACTTTTCTATATCTTAATTAAGAATAAAATTTTTATTAAAATTAAGATTTTCATAAGTAAACAAATTTTAACCACTCTTTATTTAATAATTAGCATGAATCTTTTATTGAAGATTCCCAAATTATATTATCTTCTCATACAATGCCCAGTTCCAGTGATCTGCTGATTTTGAATAATGAGGTACTTAATTTAAATAAGATTTCTTTTATAATTTTGAAGGGAATAAATGAGGATATTCAGATATTTTCATGAATAAACAAATTTTAATTATTCTTTATTTAATAATTAGCACAAATCTTTTACTGAAGATTCCCAAATTATATTATCTTCTCATACAATGCCCAGTTCCAGTGATCTGCTGATTTTGAATGATGAGGTATTTAATTTAAATAAAACTATACACTCTTTAATAATAATTAGCAAACACACAAAGTTATTGAAAATTCCCCAATTATATCTTTTTTTCATCCAATTATCAATCCCAATGCAAGCCAAAATATTTCAAACATTAAAGGCCCAAATATTATTCAATTATATAAAAAAAAGGAGCCTAATGACCCTTTTCATTTCATATTCTTTAGAATGACAAATATCTTGATTAATTTCATAATTTCCATAGGCCCATGTCAGCCATGTTCAAATATATTTCAATATCCTGTTACTCACAAAAGGTTTTTAAAAAATTTAATTTTTATTAATTTTTACGCATCCATTATTTCTACTTTTAAATAGGAGCATGAATATATCCTATTATAAAAAGGTTAATATTGATGGTTCCCTCAAACCAAGAAATTGGTTATCCTATAGCACCACTTTAGACAAAGTCTTTTGTCTTTATTGTCTTATGTTTGGTGGCCCTAAATCCAATACTTTTTGGACTCAACTTGGAGTAAATAATTGGAAAAATTTTAAGCGTGACTTAGAGAGACATGAGTCATCTTCTATTCATAAGGATTGTGAATACACCAACATGACTTGGCTTGCAAATAAGCGTATTCAAGATCATTTTCTATCAAATAGGCTTGATATAATAATGGAAAATCGTAATATAGTTCATAATATTATTGATGCCATTATATACCTTATAAAATGTAACATAGCCTTTTGGGGCACTAATTCGAATGAAGGTAATTTTATGTGCCTCATAAAATTAATGGCAAAAACGGTTCCAACTTTACGGGCATACATTGATAACAACGAAAAATTGAGGAGAAAAAAATCAGATAAAATTTCAAGACCTTATATAAATTTATTGTCATATGGCCATGTGAAAAAAATTATTGAAGTCATTAAGATAAAAATAATAAAATGTATTATTCAAAAAATTAAAGAGAATTGTGCCTATAGCATCATATTAGATGGAACATATGATGTGTCTAAAAAAGAATGCATTGCTTTACTTGTAAGATATATAGAAGATGATCCGCATCCACATCCTGTAGAAAGGATCATCCATGTTTTTACAACATCAGAAACCACCGGGGAAAATATAAAGAAACATGTTTTTTCTAAGTTCAAAGATCTTGGTCTTCCTCTTGATTATATGGTTGGGCAAAGTATGGATGGTGCAGGGAATATGAGAGGAGTATACAAAGGAATGCAGGCTTTAATATTGAAAGAGGCTCCAAAAGCCATATATATTTGGTGCCATGCACATAGGCTCAATTTAGTAGTTGCTCATGTTTGTGGATGCAAAATAGAAATGAAAAAGGTAATGGGAATATTGGATGAGTTATATAATTTCATGAATGGGGTAAGACGTCAAGGAGTGTTTGTTAAATATCAAATGACAAAGTCTAAAAAATCTCTTAAAAGAATAAAAAATACAACAAGGTAAATATAATATTTTTAATGTAACTTATCTTTTTTTAGAAATTGGTCATCATCTTATAAAGCTGTAGAAATTTTTTTAGATGTTTATGAACATATTATAGCATCATTAAATGAATTAAAAGATTCTAATGACCCAAGCACCTCTTCTATTGCCGATGGATTATTAACAAGAATTAAGGATGAAGATTTCATATTAAGTCTATTTATTTTGAAAGAAATATTGAAATGCACACATGAGGCTTGTATTGAAATGCAGGCAGTTGGTAATGATTTGGCTATGGTAACTAAATTAATACAACACACAAAAAATAAATTACAAAGACTAAGAGGTTAAAATTAGTTACGATTTCTATAAATAATTTTAAAATGTAGCTAATGGGGATAATATTTTTTTAAAATTGCATTCCTTATCTAACAGTTATTTGAAAAAGAATAATGTTACAACGGAATTGCATAATATAAAATCAATATTCAAATTTGATCAAACAGCATTCAATAATTATGTTAAACAAAAAAAAAACAAGTTGAATAAAAAAAGATTTAAAATTATTATTTAGCATTATAGATATAAAAGGGAAATATTTTTCCCTGTGCTTGATACAATCATTAATGATTTAAATGAAAGATTTAATTATGATTGTTTAAATTTTTTATCTCAAATATCTCTTTTTACACCAGCTGGAATTATAGCCAATGATAGAATAGAAGGGTGGCAAATATCTCAAATTTGTCATACTTACCAATTAAATGCTCAAGATATTGCTCGTGAATATAATGATTTTCGATCTTTATATTTGGATTCACAAGCAATCATTTATTGCAAGGATCTTTTGAAAATAAAAAAGAATGATGGGTTATATATTGATGAAAGTAATTTATTGATATTTTATTTAAAATTATATATAATTAAAGGTATTGTAAACGATGAAACCGAGGAAGATATCAATAACGATAACATAATTAATACAAAAAAATGGATAAAATATTCATTTATACTACCATATCGTCTTTTAAATAAATTAAATTCTTATTCTAATTTATATTTATTATATAAATATTTATTGACTCTACCAACTACTTCTTGTTCAGCCGAAAGAGTGATGAGCAAAGTCAAAATAAATAAAACTAGAATGCGGAATAAAATTTCTGACCCCTTTTTAGAAAATTTACTTCTAATATCCAGCGAAATTGATGTTTTTGAAAGATTTAAAATAGACGACATTATAACGCGATTTGCATCTACGTCTAAAAGATTAACTAAATTATTAATAAAATAAGTTATATCTTTTTCACAGCTAATTATATACGCCTTTTTAATAATGTAAATTTAATTTAATAGTTTTTTATATCATTCTAGTCCGGTGCATAATATAATACTATATTCATTTTATTTAAATATTTTATAATAGTTATATTTACATAAATGTTTTTATAATTCCAGTGCAAAATATATTATATTCATTTTATTTTAATATTTTATATAAAACTTATATTTACATAGATGTTTTTATAATTCCAGTGCAACTATATTCATTTTTTTCTCATATTTTATATAAAAGTTATATTTACATAAAAAAATTTATATTTCCAGTGCAAAATATACTCTATTCATTTTATATTTTATATAATAGTTATATTTACATAAATGTTTTTATAATTCTTGTGCAAAATATACTATATTCTTTATTCTAATATTTTATATAAAAGTTATATTTACATAAAAATTTTTTTTATATAATAGTTATATCTATATGAATGTTTTTAATTAATATAAAGGCATTAGTATTTATAGAATCAAGCTATACCTCTTTAAAATTACTCATTTTGTTTTTTTTACTTAATATAAAGGTATTAGTAATTATAGAATCAAGCTATACCTCTTTAAAATTACTCATCTTATATTTTTTTACTAAATTTTTGATATTTTTTTATAGTAATGTAAATATGTTATCTCATTTAATACTATTATATTAATTTTTATGAAAATAAATTGATTATCAATCAAATTATGAAAAGATTGCACTACCTACTTAAATATAAGTTAATTGAAAACGGATAGTAACAATAGTTATCAGTTTGTAAATTTTTTTTTCCAAAGCAGGTCTGAATGTTTGTAAGGGTATAAATAGTGACTTAATATAAGATTTTCTTGATTAAGGCAAATATCGCGGCCGAAGGCCGCGAAATTTTTTTAGGGGGGTAGGGGTAGATTTGGGATGGGGGTTGCCTCCATCAAATTTTCTGCCATGTAGACGCTGCTGTAATAGGAGCTAATTGATTTATAATTGATGGAATTTTTATGGTTTCGTTATAAGGACCTGCTAGTGTGCCATCGTCCAGATACCATACATTTAATTTAAGATAACAATTGGAAGAGATCTCTTTTATAATTAATTGGATGCCTTGGCAATTATGCTGGACCTAAAGGGTCTCCTTGTTGGGTGCCCAGTTTAGAGAGAATAATAGAATCATTAAATTTTAAAAAGGTGGGTTGATTGTAACATGCTAAGATGTATGTTGCATAATTTGGGAAAGTTTAACAAAAGGAGGGTATAAAATGTTCCCCACTAAGTGAATTGAAGGCATTATGTAGGTCGATTTTGAATGCATTGATCATGTGTATTATGGAGGATGATACGTGTCGAGTGGGATGCAGCCTCACATACCCCAGGAACATTAAAACCAAGCTGGTTTGGTTGTAGTAGATTGGATAGGTTAGATTTTATACGGGAGAAAATTATTCTGGAAATGATTCGCCGGAAGAGTGACCCTATTGCAATAGGCCTGATGTCCCCATTGGTTTTATTTAAGAAAATGATGGGCTGAATGAGATTAGGTATATTATTATGAAAGATATGATTAAGCAATATGGTGAATTGTGTAAGTATGTTTTGACATAGGGATATAGTTGGTTTAATTATATCTTGGAGATAAATGGCTCGAAAGCCAACGATGCCTTCTGAAGAATCTTTTTTGAATGTCTTTATTTCTTCTAATATTTTCATCTCGGTTAGTGAAATGGGATTATTAGATAATGGAAGGATGATTTGTGAAAAATCTTGAGGATGTTTAGATTGCATGGCCGTGAGCAGCGTCTACATGGCAGAAAATTTGATGGAGGCAACCCCCATCCCAAATCTACCCCTACCCCCCTAAAAAAATTTCGCGGCCTTCGGCCGCGATATTTGCCTTAATCAAGAAAATCTTATATTAAGTCACTATTTATACCCTTACAAACATTCAGACCTGCTTTGGAAAAAAAAATTTACAAACTGATAACTATTGTTACTATCCGTTTTCAATTAACTTATATTTAAGTAGGTAGTGCAATCTTTTCATAATTTGATTGATAATCAATTTATTTTCATAAAAATTAATATAATAGTATTAAATGAGATAACATATTTACATTACTATAAAAAAATATCAAAAATTTAGTAAAAAAATATAAGATGAGTAATTTTAAAGAGGTATAGCTTGATTCTATAATTACTAATACCTTTATATTAAGTAAAAAAAACAAAATGAGTAATTTTAAAGAGGTATAGCTTGGAGGGCCATCAAATAAAAATAAATTTATATATTTAAATATCGAAGGCTCTAAAAAGAGCTTAATTTAGTAATGAGCGTGATTCTAAAAAAGGTATAATTAATTATGTTTAAAAATTCCAAGTTGAAGTTTTTGTTTCACAAATATAGATTCGCGGATGATATTTTAAATATTTTCCGTGATAAAATTTAAAAAAAAAAGGTGTGTTGACTGGAAAAAAGAGCCATTAGTTGATATGTATGACAATAGGCTGAAATATGAAATTATTGAGTTTTAATATTTATTTATTTTTATATTTTCTCTAATAGTTAAAGAATTATAGTTAAGTGAGGAAGGAAAGGAAAATATTCTATCAATGTATGATTGACATAATTTTCTATCTCGCTGAATTTTTATGAAATATATAAATAAAGGCAACCAAAATGTAGTAATTTATAACGAAGAAAATAACAATATACTTAGAATTTGTAAGACAAATGCTAGTCATAGTTTTGCAAAATCATGGGAGAAGAAGTTTTTTTACAATTCAATTATGGGTTTACATTTAAAACCATATCAAAATAAAATTAGTATACAATATATAAATGAAAAACAGTTAGATATTATCAATCCATTTCATCATCACTTCCATTGCAATATATTACCAAGATTTTCACTGACACAACACTGTCTTCTATATCTGCCATCTCAACAAACTCCTAAATTTCCTACTACCAAATGTTTCTGTGTTGAAATCAAGCCTAAATTAGGATATATTAATAATAAAATTAATATGTGTGAATTTCAATTGAAGCAAAATTTTAAATATAAACAAGGTAAGATTAAAAAATACAGTTCTTACTGTCCATTGCAATTATACTCGGATGATATAAACAAAGTCAAATCTGCTATTAATTTCCTTATCAAAAGTCCACAAAATAATTTCCTTATATTTATGGAAGGAGAACAGTTTCAGTATAATGAAGATATTACCTTGTTAGAAAGTGAACTAAGCAAAATATTTAAATGTTCACCAGTGCTTGAAAAATTTTGTGAACTTTTATGCCAAATTTTAATGAAAAAGTCAGATAAAAATTGCCAATACCACAGTGGTATTTTGAAGAGCATACTAAATGTTCAAAATATAAATAAATATACAATAAATCATGTATATAGTTTGTATAAAAAATGTTTATTATATATACCAGATCTATATAAATGGTCATTTTTAAAATTATGGCAAATTTGCAAACATGGAAAGTACAAAGATCATAGCTCAACATCAAACTTAATTAAACATCTTAATATTTTATTAAAATTTTTGATTGCATTATCAGCCAAAGATTGCTCAATTATGATTACTATGCAAGGATGTGATGGTAGCTGTACACCCATTAACAATAAAATATGCTATAGGATAAATCAATTTAACATGTACTTGCATATTAATGTAGGAATTATTGATTTGGACCCCAAACCGCTACATAAAATTCAAGATGCTTATTTCAAATATAAAACTATGATTAAATTATACAATTCAGAAATTAATAAATCATGCCAACACTATTATAAGTCATAATACTCAATAATTTTTAAACTTAAAAAGTGTGATAACATCCTAATTAATATAAAGCATTTTTAAAAAAAATTAAATCTAGGGTTATGCCAATTAAAGATCTGCAAAGTTAGGCCCGGGTCTGGCTTGGTTCTAATTTTATTTAAAATAATATGGTTCGGGCCGGGTCTTATATTTTTAAAAAAAATTTGGGCCCGGTTGGGTTGGACTTTATAAATTTTATTAAATATATCTAAATTTATCAATTTTATATAGAATTTTTGATGTAAAATAAAAATTTTTGATTTAATAATTGAAACTAAACGCTATAATATAACATGCCTTTTATTTTAAGTAATTATAAAAATTAATTTCTATATTTAAATAAATTCGAGCCTGGCTGGGCTGGTAAATTTTTTTTAAAATTTTGGGTTCGGGCCGTGCCTGCAAAACTTTTTTAAAAAAAAATTAGGGCTGGGCTGGGCTTGAAAAATTAGGCCCAATGCAGATCACTAATGCCAATATTAAGTATTAAATCGAGGCTGATATTTGCTGGTTTTTATAAAAAAAAATCAGATTGGGCCAATATTATCAAAATATTCATCTAATCTGATATTAATTATATAATAATTTTTTTCAATTCATAATTTCCTAAAAATAAATATGAACAAAAATTAAATTTATTTGTAATTGTAATGTTTGAATTTTCTTTAAATTGAAAATGAGATATAATTGTTTTTTGTAAAAAAAAATAAATATTTAACAAAAATTATGGATAAAAATTGCCCATTCTTTTGGGGAATCAAAATAAAAATATTTGTGACAAAAATGACCTTGACCATGAAAAAATTTTAAGTTTTTCATGTTATGCCTATAGTTAGAATTTGCATAAAATATGGATTTTTTTTTTATGAAGTTAAGTCAAAGATAGTTTTTAAATAAAAAATTAATTTAAATATTGGAATGGTTTTGTATGAATATCAGATCAGTGAATAATTTATGCACAAGCATGTCTTATAAAAATCTAGCTTATATAAGCATTTTTCAATTAAAATAAAACAATTAAGGTTATGTTATATACTCAAAGAAGAAAGTTATATATTTTTGCATTACCTCCAAACTGAATTGTATATATCAAAGGCCAAAATTTGTAAACTCTTTTTAAGATAATTAGAGAGTTTGATAATGATAGGTGTTTTATTTAGCTAAAATAAAATTATTTCCTCAGTTTTTTTGAAAATTCTGCATGATAAACAAATTAACTATCCCTAATTGTTTAGCCAATTTTCTTCTGCATACTAATGTAGATTGAGCGAAATTAATATATTTTTAACCTTTCCATAAGCAGGGGGGTAAGTATGGTAACTCAAAAAAATTTGTTAGTTATAATTACTAAATTTTCTTCTAAAAATCGTAATTAATTGCATGTAATGATTATTTTATAGTTACAATTTATCTTAAATTAAAAAAATTTGTTTTTTTAAAGTGCGGTTTGACTAAACTACAAATGCTTAGGTAAAATTTTTTGATATATTCTCTATTAATTGGTTGAGATTCATTTTCGCATGATATAAATAACTTATAAAAATTAAATTATTAGATATATTCAATAATAAAGGAATATGCCTTAATAGTTGTATTTCCTTATCTCATAATAAACAGTTTAAATCCTTTAATGTAAATATATTAAATAAATTTCAATAGTATTAAATCGGCAAGTTGGCTTATTATTTTAAAATTTTTTTTAAAATAATAATAGGCCACCTTGCGGATTTAATATTACTGAAATTTTAAATGCGAATATAATTATTTTTATAAATTTTAATTAATGGGGGGGGGGGGGTTAAGGTAATATAAATTTTTGTGTAATAATGTTCTTGGTTGGTATAACATTCATATAAAAACTTTACATATAAAAATAATTGCGACATTTATACTAATCAACCACATATTCTATATAAATTCTCAATATTTGATATAAATAAATAGGCATGCACTTTGGTAATTTTCAAAGTTCTAATGGCTAGAAACTTTCAACTTGGTAGTTCTCTTCAAAACAAATGATTTTACAATATAACGTCTTTATTTTCTTGTTTCAAAGGAAATTTTTCTAAAAAATATATAATTATAATAATGACAATTTTTTAACCTTTTTCAGGTTTTTATATCTGATTATTATTTTTTTTTTATAATAAATATTAAAAATATTTATAATAATGGTCACGATGAGTTCGCGAAACTTAAAAAAAAAATAATAAAAACAAAACTCCAAAAAAAAAATATTTCATGACTCACAAAAAAAAATAATATTAATTATGATTAATAAATAAAAATATTTACAACAGTAATTTTAAAAATACCTTTGCAAAAAACAGTTCTGCCATTACATGAACAACACCTAAATGTGTCCTCTTTTTTTTATCTTTGCGATATTTATTCATTTTATGGCACAGAAATCAAACCTTAAATATGATATTATGTAAATATAAAATTTTAATAATATATTATATACCCCCTTCTCTTAAATTTATTAGATTTGCAGAAACTGTCATAATTGGAAGTTCTTCCATATTTGAATTTATATTATTGTAAATTATGTTTATATTAAGGAAATTCAAAATATTATTGAAAATATTAAACTTGAATTGAGATTTGTAACATCCCGTTTGAAAAAAATTTAAATAAACGTTCAATTTTTTATATCCAATAAAAGTCGCAATTATCAAAAAAAATGTCGCAATTATTTCTCAGTCGCAATTTTTTATATGAAAGGTTTTTATATGAAAGTTAGGGAAACGAATGTTTTTTACGCTAAATCTCTTTTTATGTCCAATCAGACAAAAATTCATTAATAATTTCAAAAAAAAAACTAATTTTATAATGATTTTTCCTTATTTTAAGGCTTTTCATATTTCTAACATTTTACAAATAAAAATAGTTTTATTAATAATCATAAAAACAAAATATATTAATTTTTATACGATAATGATGATTCGATTAAATACAATAAAAATAATATATATATATATATAGGATTAACTATTTATTATAAAATAAAATACATCTATTAATGTGTATTCCTTTATTATTGAATATATCTAATAATATAATTTTTGTAAGTTATTTATATCATAAGAAAATGAATCTCACTATATCAATTACCTAAGCATTTGCAGCTTAGTCAAAGCCCTTATAGCGCCCACGTTTCAAACTTTCAAATGGTATCGTGGGTCAGATTACTGCTTGCTAGAAACTCAAACTGGTTTGCTTTTTGGATACTTTTTATCCATTCACTTTGTACCTGGTCTACTACCAGTTCTTTATGAACTACCTTATTATATATCAGAGTTGTTAAAGTAGCTCGCTACTTGTAGCGCGCTATCTTTTTTGGTAGCTATAGCTAATAGCCGCTACTTTTTTTAAAATTATTTAATTTTTTAGCGCGCTACTTTTAAAAAATATAATGAATGTAAGTATAAACATGAAAATTTAAATATAATATCATAATTAATTATAATTTTTATAATTTATTATTTAATTTGGAAATTTAAATATATTTTTAATTTATATTTTCAATCTGTGTTAATAATCTAAAATGGCATCGCCCATGGATATCCAAATTCTTGAAAGTGATTCAGACATGGAAGATTCAATGGAAGAAAATGTACTTAATAACTCTAATAACGATTTCCCATTCCCTAGATTTGAAAAAAATTTTTAAATAAATATTAAAACAAAATCTGGATTCAAATTCCTGTGCTTAAAATGAAAAAAAAATATATCATCAAATCAATCGAGTAGCTATAACCTGAAGAAACACCTAAAGGTAAATTGTTATTTTTACATTATAATATTATTTATTTTATTAGACTGTTCACGCCAATTGCTATAAGGAAATAGAGAAACATATAAAAAATTTTGGTATAGGAGAATCTTCATTCAAAAAGACAAATACTATCCAAACCAAATTAACTGATAATAAACATGCCAATATTTCACAAAAATTGGCTGATAAAGTAATTGTTGATTTTATTATTGACACAGTTCAGCCATTGTCCTTGGTTGATAATCCATCATTTACTATGATGATTAAAACTTTATCCCCTGGCACTAGTGTTGTTAAAACGCCGCGAGTCGCAACCCCGACCCAAAGCTCGGGTCGTTTTATTCGACTCCGACTCAATGTTTGGGTCGTTTTTTTCGACTTCGACCCGAGTTCAAGCCGAAAAAAACCACTTCGACCCAAAATATGGGTCGTTTTTTTCGACTTCAACCCAAGTCCAAGCCGAAAAAAACGACCTCGACCCAAAATATGGGTCGTTTTTTACGACTCCGACTCAAAATTTGGGTTGTATTTTTCGACTCAAACTTGAAATATGGGTCGTATTTTTCGACTCAAACTTGAAGTTAGGGTCGTATTTTTCGACTCCAACTTGAAGTTTGGGTCGTATTTTTCCACTCAAACTTGAAGTTTGGGTCGTATTTTTCGACTCAAACTAGAAGTTTGGGTCGTATTTTTCGACTCCAACTTGAAGTTTAGATCGTATTTTTCAACTCCAACTCAAAGTTTGGGTCGTTTTTCTGACTCAGACTCAAACATCGGGTCGTTTTATTCAATCCGACCCATAATATGGATCGTTTTTTTTAAAGACGCCTTAAAGTTAGGGTTGCTTTTTTTCACCTAACCAAATATCTAGATCATTTTTTTCGACCAAAAGTCAAATAACATTTAGTAGATATTAATATTATAGGCGGGAAAGTTTCTTAAAGCTTCTTTAAATTATAACGCTCTGGATTAACTATTCCATCATAGTTATTTTTTAAAATTTCAAGTAAAGATGTACCATAGAAAAGAGCCATTTGTTATGATGGTTATTTTTGAACTTTTTTAAATGAAATAGATAAAAAAATATATTGTAGACATGTTAAATCAAAATTTCAGTGAAGATGTACCATAGATAAGTGACAATTGTCATAATCGACATTTTTATAGCAAATTGCTAAAAATATATATTCTGAACATGTTAAATTAAAAATTCAGTGAGGATGTATCATAGATAGGTGACAATTGTCATAATCGTTATTTTTGAACTTTTTTCAATTTTTTTAAAGGAAATAGCTAAAAATATATATTCTAAACATGTTAAATTAAAAATTCAGTGAGGATGAATCATAGATAGGTGACAATTGTCATAATCGTTATTTTTGAACTTTTTTCAATTTTTTTAAAGGAAATAGCTAAAAATATATATTCTAAACATGTTAAATTTAAAATTCAGTGAGCATGTATCATAGATAGGTGACAATTGTCATAATCGCTATTTTTGAACTTTTTTCAATTTTTTTAAAGGAAATAGCTAAAAATATATATTCTAAACATGTTTAATTTAAAATTCAGTGAGGATGTATCATAGATAAATGACAATTGTCATAATCGCTATTTTTGAACTTTTTTCAATTTTTTTCAAGCAAATAGCTAAAAAAATATATCCTAAACATGTTAAATTAAAATTTCAGTGAGGATGTATCATAAATAAGGGACAAAAAATGGTTATTATATATACGAGTAGTTAGGTACATAATAATTTTTAAGTGATAAAATGAGATGCTAATATATTTCTTGTAATTTTAATTTATAATAAAATTCTTAAATATGTTATTGTCATAGACTGGGTTAGAAAATCAACTATCACATAAACTCCTATGTTTTATTCATATTATATTTTTAAGTTTGAGGATATTAAAATATTTCCTCTTTGAAGTTACTAGTTAGGATAAAATTTACTTGGCACATCTTACAATGATATTTATACCTTGTTTTTTTTTTCGAGAATAAATTTTATGCGATATCTCATGAAGGAAATTACATATCATTGTACAGAGAATTAACTTTGTATATATTATCTGCACCCATATCTTTTATATCAATCTCTATCGATGACATTTTAAATTATATTGGAAACTAGATTGTGTAGATTTCTAAATATTAATTTAAAATAAGATGCTAGAATTAATTATAGATATATCTTAATAATTTGTATATGCATTTATTATTTAAAATCTCTCGTTTTAACCCTATTTAGCAAGAAAAATATTGACTAATCCTGAAAATTGGACAACTTTTATTAATAAAATTTATGTTACTCTAATTTAATTTGGCTACCCTCAAAAATAATAAAAAAAATTTGGAAAGTTAAAAAAAATGATTATTAATCATATCCCTATCCCTATCCCTAACAATTAAGAAAAAAAAAATCTCAACAAATTTGCCGTCTAGCTGGCACCACGCCAAGTAAAATAAAATATCTTTTTTAATTTTAGAATTTAAATAGTCACTTCACTTCCATATGGAATTTTTAAACTAATAAAACAATAAATTTTTTTTATAAGTATTTGCGATTCCGGATGCATTTTTTAATATATTTTTAAATATAATTTAGTAATTTAGGCGAGCCATATTTTTCAAAAATGTAGTGTTAAGTCGAGTTTTTTTAAGTCGTACTGTAATTCTGAGCGTTTTCCGTACTTTTGCATGATGGCTAAAGATTTTTTGTCGCAGCAAAGTACATACGTTGAGAGCGAGCGTGTCTTCTCAAGAGGGGTGGACACCGTAACAAAGAAAAGAAATCGCATGGCCTCCGAAACACTTAAACAGTGTTTATGTTTAAATTCATGGGATATCAATATCATGAATAATAAATTTTATATATAATTTTTATATCTATATATATTGTTAAATTAAATTTTTTGTACATTAATAAATATATATAATTTAAATAAAAATATTTAAACTATAAATGTATCAAATATTTAAGATGTTTTGAGCTTAGTATTCTTGTTTCAGGCTGTTGTTTTTTATGAATACTGGAGAATATTAGTGTTTTAATATTATTTGACTTTAAATTGATAACTAAAATAGTTTTTGATATTAAGATATAGAATTTTGAACACTTGAGAAAAATTACACATTAAAATTGATACTGGGATTAACTTTGAACCATGTTATAAAGCGCTTACTTTTTTTCAGGCGTTAATTATTCACTATTTTATTATGAAGAATATTATGAGAGCAATTTTTCTCATAGATTATATAAAGGTATAGATATCTATTATCAATTTCAGGATTAGTCAATATTTTTCTTGCTAAATAGGCTTAAAACGAGAGATTTTAAATAATAAATGCATATACAAATTATTAAGATATATCTATAATTAATTCTAGCATCTTAATCTTTTAAATTAATATTTAGAAATCTACACAATCTAGTTTCCAATATAATTTAAAATGTCATCGATAGAGATTGATAAAAAAGATATGGGTGCAGATAATATATACAAAGTTATTTCTCTGTACAATGATATGTAATTTCCTTCATGAGATATCGCATAAAATTTATTCTCGAAAAAAAAACAAGTATAAATATCATTGTAAGATGTGCCAAGTAAATTTTATCCTAACTAGTAACTTCAAAGAGGAAATATTTTAATATCCTCAAACTTAAAAATATAATATGAATAAAACATAGGAGTTTATGTGATAGTTGATTTTCTAACCCAGTCTATGACAAAAACATATTTAAGAATTTTATTATAAATTAAAATTACAAGAAATATATTAGCATCTCATTTTATCACTTAAAAATTATTATGTACCTAACTACTCGTATATATAATAACCATTTTTTGTCCCTTATTTATGATACATCCTCATTGAAATTTTAATTTAACATGTTTAGGATATATTTTTTTAGCTATTTGCTTTAAAAAAATTGAAAAAAGTTCAAAAATAGCGATTATGACAATTGTCACCTATCTATGATACATCCTCACTGAATTTTAAATTTAACATGTTTAGAATATATATTTTTAGCTATTTCCTTTAAAAAAATTGAAAAAAGTTCAAAAATAGCGATTATGACAATTGTCACCTATCTATGATACATCCTCACTGAATTTTAAATTTAACATGTTTAGAATATATATTTTTAGCTATTTCCTTTAAAAAAATTGAAAAAAGTTCAAAATTAACGATTATGACAATTGTCACCTATCTATAATTCATCCTCACTGAATTTTTAATTTAACATGTTTAGAATATATATTTTTAGCTATTTCCTTTAAAAAATTGAAAAAAGTTCAAAAATAAAGATTATGACAATTGTCACCTATCTATGATACATCCTCACTGAATTTTAAATTTAACATGTTTAGAATATATATTTTTAGCTATTTCCTTTAAAAAAATTAAAAAAAGTTCAAAAATAACAATTATGACAATTGTCACCTATCTATGATACATCCTCACTGAATTTTAAATTTAACATGTTTAGAATATATATTTTTTAGTAGAGTTATCAGATATATCTTATGTATGTACCACGGCAGATAGTTGGACACATAACAGAAGGTAAAAACTTATTTATATTTATAAATTGATCTGATTAAATATTTTTAGAGCTTCCTTGCCCTCAAGTGCTAGTGTCGAGAGATTATTTAGTAAAGCAAAGCTTATACTTTCTGATCGTCGCTCTAGACTTGGGGATGATAATATTGAAATGATATTATTATTAAAATGCAACAAATTAAAATAAATATTTATTTATATTGCTTATTTTTTTATAATCTAAACTAACTATATTTTTATATTTATAAATGTTGATTTTTATATATTATTTATTATACATTTACATTATAAGCAAAAAAAATAAAAAAAATTTGTTTCATTTGTTTCTAATATTTTTTTTATAAAAAGTAGCTAATAGCGCGCTACTTTTTTGGCAAATAGCTATAGCGGTAGCGCGCTACTTGTAAAAATAGCGTTTAACAACTCTGTTATATATAAATTAAATTTAATATTATATTTTAAAAAAATGTAAAAAAAAATTAATTTATCTAAAATGGAGTATTTAGAAATTAATGAAATAAAAAGACAGACGATAATATATTTATAAAAAACCAATTCTTTTTTTTATAACGTAGGTCCCATTTATAGTAGACGCGTTATGTTCATGAGTTGCATTAACGTCTTCGAAATCATAGCTGATTCTTCAGTTAGTTTACTAGATGATACTAAAATAGATATTTATTTTATATATTATTTCAGAAATATCATGTACCTTTTTTTTTATTGAATTCGCATTCATTTTTATAATGGTATTGCATATTTTTTATCGTCGAATCTCAACATATGTTTTTCAAATTTTTTCATAACGCTCGATATTTATAAATTTACCTACCTATTGGCTTGATATTGTAAATAACGGACCACTTGAACATAATGCGACCATAAGTGATGCCTTAGTTAAAATTTTGAATCAACAATACTATTAAAAAGGCACCTTAATTTAAACAAGGAATGATCTACGTTTTTTAAAATTAAAATTGTATGGTGAAACGCAAACGTCCATGCACACTATTAAACATTAAAAATCAATGCCTTGTCTTTTATATAAAATGTAATAATTTTTATAAATTGAAATTTGCTGATCTCTAGTTTAAAGAGTGCAATTGATAAAATTTACTAGAATTTAAAAATATACAATGCTACTTTTTTTTTAAACCTTGTTAATAGTAATCGCGATTTTGCACAAGTGATAAGCTATACCACTATGCTATCATTTAGCGATGAATTTAGGCATCCCCTGAGCGATATCACTGTTACTATAAAAGAGGCCGCACCCTCAGAATAAAATTTAAAAAAATGGAATGCTCGTAATGACGATTTATTGATAAATAGTTAATTATAATTTAAAAACTATCATCCAATAGGAAGAAGGATGATCCTAAAATTTCTTCACTTCTATTTGCTTCTTCTTTTTTTTTACAAAAACAAACTAGACATGTTATTAATTATTTTTTTGTTTAAATTTTATTATACAATGAAAAATTACACAAATACTGTTTCTAAAAATTAATAGTTATAAAAAATTTTTAAGATTGCAGTTTTGCCGTAGTGTTGAAAAGAATATTGCGGGAGTTTCCCGTCAAAGGAAAACGTATTTAATCATTTATATTTATCAATTTGAAAATGGAATATAGAATGTTTATAAATCGTTTTTTTATATAGTGAAATCGTTGAAATCTTTTTTGTTGGGACGCAGTGCGAATCGAACTGTTATTCCTGATTAGCTAAATTTAAACTTGAAATGCCATTGATAGATGCCACTCGATGGAATATCTAATGTTAGGGCGATTTTTAGAACTTCGAAGCTTTTTAGAGGATTTGCCAGATTAAAATACAAATATAGATCTGCCACCCTAGGAATGAAGTACAATGGATGATATCGTTTTATCTTTTGAACCGTCATATATTACATAAGTAAGAATGTTCTTAAATAAATATATATTGATAAATATTAAATTAAAAGCTAAAATAAAACTTTAAATTAAAACGATAATAAAAAACTTTACCTGCCCGAATTTATTTAAATGTAGAAATTAATTTCTTAAAATAGTAGTAATTTGAAGTGTATATTACACCGCCCCTCTTTAATAACTTAAAATAAATAATGTCATATTGCGTCTAGTTTCTATAAATAAAACTAATTTTTATTTTTATTTTACATAAAAAATTCACCATAAAATTGATAAATTTAGATATATTTAACCCAAATTTTTTAAAAATAGACCTGGTCAACGTCCGTTCGGGCCGGCCCTATTTTTGCAGATCTCTAATACTTAAAGGTAAAACATTGTCTAATCGTAAGAAAACATATAAGTATAATTTTTTATTGTCTTTTAAAAATCCATTTTTCAATAAAAGATTAGAACAAATTGTATAAATATAAAAATTTGCAGCAAAAAAATTATATGGGTATATTTTATAATTTTTATATAAAGGTAAAAATTGGAAGGATATATATAATGATTTCTTCAAATATATGATAATAAAATAAGTCCAAATAATATTATTTATGAATCGATTGGTCCTAAAATTAAAATAAACATAATTTATGATTGATTAATGTAATGATGTATAACACCATTCAAGTAAAATTCATTATATAAATATAAAATTCCCCAAAACTCCTAACATAATAATAGTAAGCATAGGTAGGGGATAGGTGTATGATTTTTTTTAAGTTAACATTAAGAAAATAAACATTATTTCAAAATATATATATATGTTATAAATAAATATGTTTTGCAATGATTGGAAGAAGTTGACGTATAAAAAAATTTTTTTTTAGATATGATTCTATTAATAATAAGAGCAAATTCAATTTGAAGTCCTATTAATAAAAAATGAGGATATATGCAATGCACCAAAAATTTGCAAAATAACAAACCAATTAATTATCAATGATCAAGATAAATATTCATAGGAATATTATTCGTGAAGAGCATAAACGCACTGTGGAAGGATTAAACAAGAAAAAATATATTTTAAAAATAAAACACATAATTATTTGTTAATTTAACGATGAATCTGAAAGTTTAAGTGGAAGCTATAACGTATAAGAATTTGAATTTCTAATAGCAAACTCCCCCCTCCCCAAGCCTAAAGAAGGGCTAATTCAAATATAGTGATAGAAATAAACACGTTATCTTAAATACGAAACCGAATAATTCGAAAGTAAAATAAAAATATATATCGTAAAATCGAAAAAAAGGGCGTGATTGAAATAATTATTTTCACTGGGGGTTTGAAAAAGTATTATCCTGTCACGCTGACCAAATTGGAAGGCAAATTATTAGCTAAGCCACCTACACCTCCTTTGGCTTTATTCTTTTTCTTCTTATTGATGTTGGTGCCTGATTCTGGATCGTTCCCCACGTTAACGTGAACGCTAGTGGCTTGTTTAAGAGGGTTATCCTGTTTCTGATAATAAGGAACCTAGGGTGTTGTTTATTAGGTGACAAGTAATCAATTTCAAATGTTTAAATTTTGAATAATATATTTCCCCTAATCTCCACCGTTAAAAAAAAACTAAAAACGTGTGATTAACCTTTTCGCCAGTTGTGCTCATATTCGAAGTGGCAGCGGTAGAGCTAGAAGAATAATTCGCACCAGAAATTTTGGGAATATTGGAAGCGCGGGGAGTGTCTTCAGCCAGCTCAAACATGAGGTTCCCGCGGGCCGTTAAATCCCGCAAGCGCTTTTCTCGCTTTCGATCCACTTCCGAGAGATAGGACTTAACTACTGGCGATCGACCCATAGTCGAATCCGAAATAGTCGAAGTGGCAACAAGGTTAGTCTCAGAATCGTCGCCCAAGAGTGAGTAGGCCTGATAGTTCACGTACCAGGGAGTATCGTCTATATCAACCTCTGTAAGAAAAAACAAATAAGAAATAGGTAAGGCTGTTATATTTTTTTTAATTATTAAGACTAGAATAACAAGTTTAAAAGTAATTTTATTAAGAAACATTTGTTGGCTGAGTTAATATAATCTATATCAATTTTCGTGAATTTTAATTAGGAGATCAAAATACAATAATGCAAAATCTTCTTTGATTCTTGATTTGATATGAAAGAATTAATTTTTTGTGGGGAAAAAAAATGCGTATTTGCAAAAAGAGTTGTAACTCAGTCAATGAAAAATATTATTGCGTTATTTAACGACAAAACACAAATAAAATATTGGAAATTAAAGTCTAAAGAGTATAAAAAATATTTAAGGGTTGTACAGATCAAATGTATAAATTATGATTTTATTTTTATTATATAAAATAATTTTAACTTTACGATATAAATAAAATAGCAATACATCCAAATTTTTAGTTTTTTTTTCCCAAAAAATATTTTTCCGAGATTAAAACAGGCTGGTAAAATCAGAGTTGTTAAAGGATCGAGTCAAAAGATCGCCGATCTTGGATTCGATCCTAAATTTGTCTATTTTCCCGGATTTATGATCCTGACTTAAATTAAGGATCATGATCGAGATCATTTTTTTTAAATATTCGATCCCGATCCTTTTAGAAATTAATTTTTTAAAAAAAGCAATAAATAAAATAAAAATTTTGAAAATTAAATTATTATTTAAAAATAAAATATCTATCTATATAATATTTAATTTACTTAAACGGCTCCTCGTTTTGAACCTATTTTTAAAAAGGGCTAACTCAATATTTCGCCCAGAAAAATTTTACGCAAGCCTGAAGATTTTTCTCATAGAAGGAATAAAGGTCTAGACATATACTATCGAAACCTCGAGGCTTAGGTTCATATTTTATCAACTTCCATTTCACCATATTTAATATTTCAATAATTTACTAAATTTTATCAAGAACGAAATTGAGAGCCTACAAGTTTTATTTATTTAATTATATTATATATAATAATATAAATAAATTCTAGGTTTTAATAATGTCCTTTGTTATAGATTTAGAAGATAATACATCTACTATTGATGTATAATAAATTAATTATCATTTCTTATATAAATTTCCTTCACTGTATAATGACAGTAACATATTGGCAGCAATAATTCACCCAAAATTTAAGCTAAATTGGCCTTATATTAATATGCCACAAAATCTGTTGGTAAAATAGAGGTTAATTGCCCATTTGAAAAATATGCATGGTCAACCACATGATGCTTCAAATGAATCTATAGATGAAATAAATACCTTTTAATCTTCACAAAATGTTCGTTCCATTAATAATTTTTTTTATTCAAATGCTGATTCAATGAATATTTTAAATTATGTTAATTAAAAAAAATATTTACTGAATATAACACACCTTTGCCATCAAGCACTGTGGAGCGATTGTTTAGTAAAACTAAACATATGCTTAATGAAAGAAGTGGATGTTTAAATGATAACAATTTAGAGGAAATTTTATTATTGAAGGCTAATTTTAATTATAAATATGTATATTCTAATTGTTATACTTATATTATATTATTCATTTACAATAAATTTATACCATATTTAATTTATATTTAATTTATACCATATTTAATTTATTTATCTTAATAAAAGTAAAATATAATTATAAAACAATAAACAATTACGAAAAAAAAAATCATAACAAAAGGACAATAATGAGGCATAATACTAAATAAACAAATAAAAGCGAAAGCAGCAGAAATTATTCAAAACCTCCTTCATCTAAATTTTGCAGCGCTCAGTAATTTCCCTCAGAAATTTAAATAAGAAAAGGATCGTGATCCTTTTTTTTAAATAAGGTCGATCCTGGATTTTGGTCCTCTTTTTTGAAAAGATCGTGATCGGGATTCGATTTTTTTAAAGGATCGATTAACAAGCCTGGGTAAAATAATGAATTCATATATTTTTTTAAAAAAATAATTGGGCCAGTTTGAAAAATAAGAATGATTTTTAAATCTGGGCCAGGATCATCCAGTTTTCTTATATTATAAAACATATAATAGGTGCTTTCTTAAGCAGTACTAAATTTTTGTTCCTAAATCTGAATATAGTATATTTTTCTAAAAAAGAAGCCATACAATTTTTTTGTTTAAAATTAAGGTAAATAAGATTATAACAAAGTTCCTTCTGCAACCTTTATCTTCGTTTTGAGCCATCATAGGTGATGAGGGCACCAATTGGCCACCCCAACAATGTCGAGTTGGCAGGTAATATTTCTTGATCGCCAGTCCTCCCATACCAATGCTAGACTCGTTGGGTCCTTCACCTTCCAGTGCGAGCGTATGACTTTCAGATTCTCCTACCCAATCGGCGTCACTCGTCAGTTTCAGAATAGGCTTAACCTTTTTAATTATTATTTAAATGAGAGGTGTATGAAATCATCTTTAAATTCTTAAATAAATTCTAAAAATCTATACTATATATTATGATAAATAAATATTATGTCAAACCTTGTAAATTATCTCGGGCACTGCAGGCTTAGATTCCAGCGATTGGCCAGGAGGCATGTTCAAAAGTTCCCAATCGTTATTGGCCATGGTGCTGTCAGTGGTGGAGGTAGCCACGGACGCATGATCATCCATCCCCCCAAACCCATTGTCCTGTTCATCGTAGTAAGACTTTCCTGGTTCACTATGGGGAATCCTATTGGGTTCGTAAACTTCTTCATCCGTTGTGTGTGAAATGTGGCGAGGCCTAGAAGACTTAAACGGGATATCCGTCGGGGGCTTAGGGGTAGCCTTGTTATGATCGGCAGTAGATTCTTGGCTCTGTTGAGGGACCGACTTAAATTTAGGGGAGATAGGTTATATATTAAAAGATAATTAATGGTTGCAGCACAATTAAAAAAAATTGACTCTAATAGAACTAAGGCAAACAAGCACAATAACTAGAATAATATTACATCAGCATTGTTTGGGGCACAAAAAAATTTTAAGTTTCATATTATACAATTTCTTTCTTCATTTAATTGCTTTAAAAAAAATCGTAATTTATGAAAACCAAAAAGACAAAACTTTCCCCTCAAGTTTCCCAGAAGCTTAACTTAATCGGGCCGTTTTTAAAATACGGGCTTTTTAACCAACACTAGGTCTAGCCAAGCCTTTAATCTAAAAAAAATGACTTAAGCCTCCTCCAAGTTGAGCCTTAAATGGAAGATTGAGATATTCTTCGTTAGGATAAAAATTTGGCCAAGTAGTTTTGTGGTTAAGGGATAGCTGATTTAACAACATTAATGTAATGGATATCATCGAAGGGGAAATTTGACGCCTAACACAAAAGAGTTAGGATTCAAGCTACCCACCATTTGACGAATCCTTAATTATAAACGCGTATTTTTTTGGACTAATCAAAAAAATTCATCGTACGACTTTGAACGTAAAGACGAATTAGTAAAAAAAATGTCGTGCATTTTTTTTGAGTTAGGTCATATAACGAAAAATTATATTTTAAAAAATGTAGAAGGATAGATGATTTTCGACCTAATTTGGCCACATTTTTGAAATATTTGTTACTTCCAAAAAAAAGTTATTTAATCGTAAGGGGCTGTACCAAATGACATATTATAATACCTAGACTAACGATGCATTCATTAAAAGTGTTACATCAATGAAAACAGCTGGGGACGCCAATTTGAATACCCATATCATTATTAAAAATTTTAAACGAGAAACCAATTTATTCCTATGTCTGACGCAAACTTTATTAAAGGGGGTCCAACTGATTTGCATTTAAGGATGCATTATCAATGCATCGTCAGTCTAGGTATCATTATGTCATTGGGTGGTACCGGTAACACTTTTTGTAGGCCGATTCTATATTAAATTGATATGGGCCAATTACCGATTCGAGATCATATCTGAATTGGTATACTGTTAAACATACTAGTTATAATTTTTTAATGCATACATCTCTTCTCATCTCTAATATACTTTTTGATAGTATAACATTCTACAATTTAACAACATAAATCATTTATTTAAAAGATCAGTTGTTATAGTTTTATATTCATGAATTTTTAAATAGTTATTTTTACACTTATTTATTCATACAAGACTTATCCACATTTACATAATAAGCAACAAAATATATTACGAAATTTCGAAATAAATATTTAAATTAATATTCTAAAATGGATTTTGATCTTATTTATAAAAATAAATTGTTTTTTTTAAATGTAACATTTAAAAAAAAAAAAATGAAGACGCCATTTTATCGGATCGGTAGAATACTTTCTATTAGGATTTTAATCCCATTTTCATGAACACCTAGAGGTATGGAATATTTAAAAATGGTTGATCGAAGCGTTATCAGCTTATAACTGTTAGCGTCGATGTGCATTTTTTTCTGGCAATGTGTTAATTTTTTCAACTTTAAATTATTTTTTGAGCGCCTTTTTTTTAAAAAAATTTAAAACTTTGATTTTATCGGAAATATATTCCGTCATGTTTGGAATACCTACCCTATAAATTTAAGACAATTTCGCCATGATCTTTTGAGCTTAATATAATTTATATATTAGTTTTTCCATAGATTTTGATATAGATTATTAAAGGGATAATGGCAAAATTGTCTACAATTTATAAGATAGGTATTCTAAACATGCTAGAATATATCTCCGGTAAAATTAGATTTTTAAAGTTGAAAAAATTAACACATTGCGGGCTAACATATTTTTAAAATCGGTGTTAAAGAACTAAATAAATTCTTGTAAATTTTTTTTAATTTTCCCTACCAATAATATTAAAAAAAAATTGGAATTAACGCAAATGTTTTATATTTAATGTTCCACTAGCCAAAACTTTTACCCTCGATCCCCCGTGGATTGAAGAAGATTGGCGCCATCGATTTTAAACGATTCCCAAAAGCTTTACGTAATACTATTTCTTAGGTGCCAATTCGCGGTAAAAATTTTATTGCAAATATAGAGAATTGAATAGTGTTTTTAGCGAATATTTAAATGAATGTATCATCGTCAGAGATGCTTAATGCGGAAAATCATAATGGTGCACTGTGATCAATTAAAATATTTGGAATTGTGGAATATATAAAATGGAAGAAATTAAATTCTCATGCAAAAAGGATGGAATTAAATATTGAAATAAAAAATAATAGTAAATTCATCAAATAAAGATGTTTCTTCGTGTATTAGGGATGAAATTCAATATTGATATAAAAATTAATAGTTTTAAAGCCAAAAAGTGAATTTTGTAAAAAAAATAAAAATAAATAATATAATTATAAGATAAATAAAAAAAATAATAGTAAATATTAATCAAATAAAGAAAGGAAAATTAAAAGTAAAAAATGGATTTAAAAAAAGAGGTACAAATTTTTATAGGTTTACTTTTGAAATTTTGTTTGCGTATATGTTAGCGTCAATGTGTTTCAACTTTAAAATCGTTTTTTTTTGAAAATTTAAAATTTTGGTTTTACCGGAAATGTATTCCAGCATGTTTAGAATACCTATCTTATTATGAATTGTAGATAATTTAATTTTACCCATATTCGTGACAAAATTATCTGAAATTCATGGGGTTAGGTATTTCGAACATGATGGAATGCAATTCCGTAAAATCAGATTTTTTAAATTTAAAAAAAAAGCGCTCAAAAAATGATTGAAAGTTGAAAAAAAATTACATAATGAAAGAACATATTGCCGCTCGCTAACATATATAAATGGTGCAATTACAATGGGCCATAGCATGGTATGTTAGGTAGACGTGGCATAGACTGCTTAATAATGAGTTATCTCTTGAAGTTTAAAATATATTTGAATATAATAGGTATCGTTTTGGGAAAAAAAATAAAGGATTTAGACTTTTGGAGTATATGTTTTGAAAATAAGTAATATAATGTATAGATTTTTATTCAGTGTTCTAACAGCTTCTTACTTTAGATAGCAAAACGGGATGAAAAACAGGCCAAAGGGTAGTTTTGTTAAACGACTCGTTTTGAGCCGATTTTTAAAAGTGGTTAACCCAATATTTTAGCCAGAAAAATATTGACCAAGTCTAGAGATTTCGCTAATAGTTATCCTTGTTCCTCCTACAAACAAAATCTTCAGGGTGAGTTAGCCTTTTTTAAAAATCGGATCGAGCCATTTAACAACCCTACCAAAGGGAATCGGAATAATATTTTAATTTGAGATTATAAATAATGGGTGGACAAATAATTTTTGAGTATAATAATAATGATAAGGAAGAAAAGAAGGGAAAAGGTTGCAAAATAATTGTCAACGCGGATAATATGGTTCCAAAACACGACTGCTAAACAATCTATTATCCCAATAACAGCGCTATTTAAACTAAAACTAACGTAACGAAACCAAACATGGGATAAAACACTGACTACCTAGATAACGACCAATGGCGCTCTTATAACCGACAAATTATTAAGATGGAAAACGACTAATACAACACTTTGAACCGACCAATCAAGATGAAGGCAAAATCATCTATGTTATGACTGCTGCCATAGAAAATAAATGAACGAAAGATACGGAAGCCAGCTGGGGATAAATAAAGCTCTCTTATTTCAAATCTTTTCTTATATATTTTTCTAATTTTTAAGCTAATTAATCCATCATGGAATTAAATAAGAAATTTAAAATGTGTTTAAATATAAAAAATTCCTTTCGCGTCAAAATAAATCGCCCGAATAAAAATCGCGTCGATTAATCGCCTACGAAGACAAAACCTAGTAAAAAAAATATATTATCCATACAAGTTTTTTATAAAAAAGTTTTAACTTTATAAAAATGTCATTATATAATGCAGATGAAAAAACATATTTGCAAATAAAAATAAGGCTATTATGTAATAGGTCATTTTTAAACAATTTTTTACAAGGAGTTAAATAATTTTATTTATTATTTCAATTTTAAATTCGCAAAACACTGTCCTATAAAAAAAATCTTGTTGGTGATAAATGAACGATAATAAAATAAGTGGTGCGCGTCGAGCGACATTAAAAAAAGAGGAAGAGGAAGATGGGTAAAAAAAAATTAAGAAGGAAAGTAATTAATCAAGGGCAAATATATAAATAGGCGGAAATCGTTTTATAATGAATAATCAATCAAAATTATATACAATTCTCTTTTTTTTCGTAACATCGTTATTTCATTTTAATGATTAAATTAAAAAAATTCCGACCAAATAGTGTTGTTAAACGGCCCGATTTGAGCCGATTTTTAAAAACGGCTAAAACTCAATATTTTACCCGGAAAAGCATTACCGCATGCCTTAAGATTTTTTTTTTCGTAGACAGCACAAAGGTTTGGGACCTACTCTATTAAATGTAGTCTCGAGGCTAAAGACAATACTCTTCAGGATAAAATATCGAGTTAGATGCTTGCTTTTAAGAAATCGGCTCAAATGAGTGAATAATGTGATCATTTTTAGTTAAAAAAAATAAACAAATGTAAATGTATTGTTTTAATCTTAATAATAATATCACATATTTGATCTAAAATAGTTCATTTTTATTTTCTATCCAGCCAAATTTTTATTAATTTTTTAAAAAATTCTTTTCTATTTTAAAAACAAGTCATAATTTTTAGTTTGAAATGAATGAAAATAATTAATAAAATTAGCTTTTAAAATAACATCACATATTTAATCTTGTGGTAGTTTTATTTATATAAAGTTTTAAGAATTTCATATATTTTTAAACTGTTTCTATGGATTACATAAATTTTATCGAGATCATAATTTCATATACAAGGACCATCATAGCATGAAAATGGAGAAAAATGCAACATCTTAAAGAGTAAGATGCTCAACATGTTCAAGCAGCTATTCTATATGGAAGGGTTTAATATTATATTTTAGATTTTATTTTATTAATTAGGCACTATATTCGAAAATATTAATCTTCCTGTGAACAAATTTATCATCTAATATATCTTTTTTGTGTCCAGGATTTCTATTAATGACAGTCTTGGTTATAAATTTAGCACAAAGTACTATTGGAAAATGGTAAAATATACCTATAAGTTTTTTGAGGTATGCAATATTTTTAAAAAATTTATGCAATTACAACAACGTATGTGATTAATAGGAAACTCATGATCTTTTTTAAAAAAAAGCCATGGTACTTGTATATGAAATTATGATATAGTAAAATTTATCTAATCCATAAAAAGAGGGAAAAAAAATATTTGTTAAATAACTTTTGAGCAATGAATCTCCCGGGTTTCAATAAGTTACTACATAATGTATATGGAAATAATTCCAAAGGATTTGTGGTAAATCTTGCTTCTCAAAGGCTAAATATCGGCCAAAAATAGAAACAATTATCCAATTATATTATACATAAGAACTTCTAAATTTTAAGGTATGCTAGATTTTAGAGAAAATATCTTGGGAGATTTTTTTTTATATAAAATTAAAACAATAAATTTATACTTTTATTTAACAAAAATGATAATAAAAATATTGTATCATTTGATTATTCTCTAAGATGGGTTTGATACTGACAGTTATAAATTAATCTCAGTAAAAAAAATGTATTTTGCAAGCATAAAAATTATCAAAAGTACAGAGTCTAGACATTAACCACACAGCACATATATAAAAATAAATGATTTTACTTTTGAAAATCGAAATATATTTTTAGTGGCAAAAGATGTCCATCATGTCAATCTCAAACTGACATTTACAACAATAGTTTTTTTATAAACTAAAGGATGGGTTAAATCAAATTCATAAAAGATGCTAAAAAAAATTAATATGCTAGCTTAAATTTCAAACATCGTATACCGAGGTAAAATCTTACCACATAAACAACGCCTCCAAAATTACCCTGCATTAACAGTTGGCGCGAATCCGCGGCGAAGATACATATATGAATGTATGTCATATTTTGTATACCTCGCCACGAATTGCCGCTTTCTGCGTAAACTTAGGGTTAGACAAGATTTTATTTAAAATTCTTACGTAGCCCACAAATAAGCAGTTACCTTTTCCGGATATAAACAGCTGAGATTTATAAGAATTCTTTCAAGATGAAATCGAAAAAAAAAACTCTGCCCAAAAGCTAAATCTCATTCCTATACGTATTATAAATAAAACAAGCAATAAAACATTGAACAAGAAACTCATTCACTAGGCATCTTTTATCTTTTTATAGAATACTAATTTTTTATTGTAAAAGGGTAAATTATCGTATATATTTCGGTCAGGTTAAATATTTGCCCCCCTTAAGAAAATGCTTTAAAATTTAAATATTGACATGACACTAAACAAACTAATAATAAAAATATTATTTCGCTTCAAATAATTAAAAAAAAAAAAATCACGATCAATTAAAGGAATAGGAATTGGAGATTGACTCTCTTGCCCGGAAGACGTTAGGTCAGACCGGACCGGTATAATATTGGTCTCAAACGATAAGGGGCCTATTTGGGAGAATGGTAAGATATATAGGCAAGAACGGATTCCCTCAATTTCAATTTTCACTATATATAAGATAAGTAATCGAGACGGTTAGCTCCTCCTGTTATGCACGGATGAAGAAAAAAAGTCGCGTGAAGAGGAATATGTGATAGCGTTTTATGCCGACGTTGTTTTTCATCTTGAAGGGTCTAATTTTTGCCATCAATGGCATTCCAGAATTTGCTCCATTGAAATTATCATAATCAATTCCTTGAAATAAAAAATTAGAATGAGATCCCTTTAAGTTAGCGTTCAATGGGACATCAATTCTACATTATTTCACATTAGTATTGTCATATACAGGCCTCATCAATGACATGGAGAGGAAAGGGGGCTTTCAAATTCCTATGCGTCTAGAATATTAATTTACGGCCCAAGATTTCCTGCAGAAAAATATTTTTTTCTTCTTCCTTATTAAGCAGAATGAAATTACCGGCATGAGATTCCTGCAAAAAATAATATTCACAGTGCAGTGCAAGCCACCAAATTATTAAGAGCCAAGTCTGGATTTAAAAATCCCTACGACCTGGCCTCGGTTTTTTCAAATAATTTTAGCGCGATATCTCGCAAATGGCCTCATAGCGGAATCGGAAAATAAAATGGGAGAAGCTAATGACTAATCTATATAATTAAAATTAGATTTTTGGATTCTCATTTTTTTTTGTCGGCGTCAGACCTATCCAATCTTTTTAATTTATCCTGTCGGCTCAGATACTGGATCTTATAAAAAAATCGATATTTGTTGAAACTCTTTTTTTTGCTCACAGATGTCAGAAAGGTTTCTACTTGCCAACTGAGGCTTATATAATATTATTCTGGCTAAAATCTTAATCGGGTCGTTTTTAAAAAATTGACCTAGACCCAAATCGAGCTTTTTAACAATAATATTATATAATTACAAATCATCTTTAGACAATTAGATTGGTTTAAATGGGTCAATTTGAAACCGATATTTTAAAAACGGATTGCACATAAAAAAATATTAAGGCGTTTATGTACCATCATACAATGATGAAATATTTGTTTATAAAAATAATAACAAGATAATTATTATTCTCGGATTTACAAAAAAAATTTATATAAAATTTTTAATTCCCCCCTCCCCATGGTTTAATAAGTACATTGTTTCTAAATTCCCTAAACTTTAAACAAAAGAATTTTTTTTAAAAAAATAATTAAGATATTAAGATATTTAATATACAACATATAAGTTAGATAAATTATCAAATATGGAATTAATAGTATCAAAAAAAAAATAGACTATTTTAATAGAACCCATCAGATCCAAATAGAGAAGATATGCTTAAATTTTTATATTTAATAAGGTCAATTATGGTCCATATTTTCAATTATTTTTTGGCCCATCCCTGATTAAGTAATCATTTTATGCAATATATTCCAAGCCCAACCTCTAGGTCTTCTGATAAGCAAGATTGAGTCTAACATTTCTCTAACAAAATTTATCGTATTTTGTGTATAAAATTGTTTTAAAATTTTAATTGCACGTTATAAATAACCACCCTACCAAATTGAATACTTTTAAAAATATAAATTTTAAAATATCCATTTAGAAAAAATCACCTTCCCTGATACGTACAGAACAAGATTTTTTTTAAATATTAAATAAACATCATTTATTTATTTTATAAAAAAATAATGTTTTATTCATATGTAACAATGAAATAAATCCATTTTAACCCTTTCGCATCCATGGATAACTTTTGGATTCATGACTTTTCAATAGTATTTTATGTGCATTAAAAATGAACACTGATAATTTCTTAGATCATATTTTTAATTTTAAATGAACTTGCATTTTGCCTATTAATGACAATTGGAATCATTTAATATCTTTTGATAGAAATACTCAAAATAAATTTTTTTGATGAAAATGTGTTATTTGTGTCTAAAATAAATTTCTCTTAAAAAAATTTTTTCACTGAGGTTAAAAAAAGTTGGGCATGAAAGGGTTAAATTTTGTACTATTATGCAAAATTTTGAAAAAATTAGTGGATTATATTTTGGCATAGTAAATGAAAGGGTAAAATTAGGTAAAAACAAAAATATTAATAAAATAACAAAAAAAAAGGCTAGGACTAGTCTAGATGAAATTTTTTTAAATATCAGTCTAGTCTGTCACCTTTACTAGAAACAAGGCACTAATATTTTTTTTACAATTAAATAAATAATTTTTTTAAATTTAAATAAATTTAGGCTGGGCCAAAAAATTATTTTTATTTTAGGTAGGGCTTTCAGAACAAATAAAATTTTATTTCAGGAATGAGCCTGGCAAGATCACTAATAAATGTATCAGAGATGCATATAAACCAGCGTAATCATATAAAAAATTAGGCCAAATGCAGATCAACTAATATATGTATCAGAAAACTAAATAGACCAGCCTAAAGCCAGACATAAAATATTTCAGATTTTTTCAGGACAGGATAGCTTATGTACTTTGGATATGATAAATTTAGGATTTTTCCCATTGAAAAAATTGTAGGATGGGAAAGTCAACATGTATAAAAAATTTTTGAGCAATACCATAAATATCACAAGCCATGTTTGAAACCTTTTTAAAATGCTTCAAAGGCCAGTTTAGATCAAAGTGATCTATAAATAGATGCTAAAATAAGTAAAAATAAATGAATAGGATGAACAAAAAGCCTGGGTGAAATCAAGAAAATAATATTTTTTATTTCTGAAATATTATAATATGTGTTTATATATCAATTATTAAACCTTAATGCAGTAAATTAATTTTATTTATAATATAACTTGTACATTACTTTTTGTGGTTTATTTGATGAAGGCTTTGCATTATTAGTAATGATGGGAGCTGATTTTTTCTCTTTTCTTGCTGGGATAGTCATCCATCCTTCTAAAATATATGTGGTATACATTATTTCTAAATATTATACAAATTTACCTGCAACCATTGTAGAGGTCTTTTCATCATCATGCTAAAATATTAATTTATAAATAATATATAATCAATTTAGTACCTTTTGGTGTTTATTATCTTTAGCTTTTTTAGATAATTTCTCAGGTTTTTCAACAATTGGTTTTTGGTTCTAAACATAAATATAAAAATGTAATAAAAATATATTTAACCTTATTTATTTTAGCTTCAACTTGATTTTCCTCTTTCTTAATTTTAGGTGTTGCACCATTAGATGCCTTCTTATTTGATGTGTCCTTAATTTTAACATTGGTTATTTTCTATAAAATACATTGAATATTATAAGCATAAAAATATATAACTGCTTTTTCGTATTTTGCTTTCTTCTTCTTTCCTTTCTTATTATCGGAATCCATCAAATCTTCAAATGTAGGAGGGGTAACAGATTTAAAACCAAAGATATATAAAAAGCTTCCTAAGCCTATGACACCCATTATGGGTATTATAAATTTCAAATTTTCAATATCTGTAATATCCATTTTAAATTAATATTCTTCGAGCTATAGGTTGCTAAATTGTTGATAATTTAAACGAGAGACACGCAACGTACTTCGTAGAGATAATTAAAATTTCATTTTAAAAATAACTAAACACTTTTTTGAATTAACGAAATGGAATTTAAATATTAATATTTTTTAAAAAATATAATTTGGTTTATATTAAATATAAAGGATCAGCCACTAATTCTTTAAAATGGAATATTTTTTTTGCCTAATTTAGAAAATATTTTATTATTTGAATTATAAATTCTCAAGCAGGATGTGATGGGGAGTTCTTCTAAATATTATTTATTTTATTATTTTCAACAAATGACTTCTTAATCTATTATTTAAAAACAATTATTAGTGAAAAGGGTTTGGCTGTGAGACCAATTATAGTAATCAATTGTTATTTGCTTAAAATAATATATTAGATTTACCACATCCCTTTAGCTAATGAAAATTGAAAGGAAGCAAATTATAAACTACAATTTATAAACATATAAAAATATATATAGATCATCGGAATATAGGAATATGAAGTATTCCTGCATCTTCCTAATCTGGCATCCTTGAAATACAAACAATGATCTGTCGTTTCAAAAAAATAAAAGCAGTTCTAATTTTCTAAAAAAAATTATATTATTTAAAATTATAGTATTTTATTTGTTGATTTAACTAATAAATATTAATTTAAAATTTATAAATGTTTTATCACTTAGTTTTATATTTTTTAAAATTTTATCTTCAATAGAAATATTACGATATGCACTTTTGGCACATAGGCGATCTCAAATAACTTTTATCACTTTTGCCAGCTATTAACCTTAATCCTATTGCGACCTTTAGGCACAAATAGAGTTTAAATGGAAAATTTTCCTAGGTTAGATATTAGAATCATTAATATAGGGTAAATTAATTTATCCGCAAGATCATTTGCTTTGTCAGTTTTATTCATTATAATTATTTCCAATCCCTAATATTTATCTAAGAAAAAATTTTAAAATCTTATTAAAAAAAGAGATATATGTAAAGATTTTATTTGAGATAAAAAAAATTCCATTCTAAACATTTTTTTGAAACTAATTATGTAGTTTCGTCGGCTAATATTATATTTATTTGACTTTTACGTATTGTTGAGCTTTTTGGAAATTCTGGCTAAATTAATATATGGAGCAAAATTGATCACTTTAATAAATTCCTATTGATTCATATTTAAAAAATAGAAATATTTGATATAATCCATTGTTTTTTTTGTTATGTTATACTTTGCGAATTTTACATTAATTTGATACAAAATTAATTTTGTATCATATTATTAATTATAATTTTCCGATGTCTTCACTACATCACCGTGACGTCATGTCATCTTACATCATGTCATCGGTACGTATTTTTTTTTATTTGTTGATTTTATTTATTTATTTTATACAAACAGATGATTTTATAACTTAATTTTTTATGCAACTGTAGGAGGTCATATTAAAACCAGTTGGCAAAGAAACACATTATTTACTAAATATTACAAATTATTATATTTTATATAGAAATTCAATTTACTTGAGGTGGGCTTGAGAAAATCTTTTTAAATTATTAAGATCTGGGATGCTTGCAAAAAGTAATACATTATTTACAAAATATTACAAATTATTCATATTGATTGGGATTTTTAATGTTAAATGTTAGTCTTATGTTAATAAACATTAAATATATCTATTTACAAAATATTACAAATTATTAATATTTTTTTAACTTGTACGTCAAAGATTTTTTCTCCATGACTTATTTTTTGGAGTTATCTCCAATAATACGAAGTAATATTTTTTATTTCTTATAATAATATTAGGGCAGACCTTATTTTGTCATGATTCTCTAATGAGTGGTTTGCCCGGGCTTTTTTCTCATTCATTAATTATAAATTATATCTCTAGGCTTGGGAAAATTTTTTCAAAATTATTATGGGTTGGACTGGGCTTAAAAAATATTTCTCAAAATTAATATTGGCTTGATTTTCAAAATTATTAGGGATTGAAATGGGCTTGAGAAAATCTTTTTAAATTATTAAGATATTGAATGCTTGGAAATTTTTTCCAAATATTGTGGGCTTGAACCTAGATTGGAATTTTTGATGTTAAATGTTAGTCTTATGTTAATATTTTTATAAATAAATATATTTTACCCGTAGACTAATTGATAAATCAGAGATTTCCCCTTCATTAATTAAAAATTTAATATCTCTGGGCTTGGTTAATATTGACCCATCTACTGGTTTACATTATTTTCATGTTTATTTAATTTCAACAATAGTTTATTTATATTTTTGCCTAATTTCTTTATTTGTCTAGGCTAACCCAAACTTAATCCCTCACATTGCTACAAAACATGATGAATCTATTAAATATAAGCAAAGAAAATAATGACGAATAAACAAACGCCTTGCCCGTTCTAGAGTTACTGCTAGCCAAAATAATAAAGAACTAGGCTTGAAATTAACTCCTCTGGAGGTTTATTTTGTTTTTTTTTCTTATGTTTGATATTTATATATTTATTTTATTTTCACCCAGTTGCCTCCAAATGATATTTCTATCACCACTACCACAATCCCTAAGCCACCTCTGCCTATTTTTTAACAAATATAAGCATTCAATTTCATACTATCATTCACTTTACTAGGAGTTATTATAAATATTACTTTATCCGATTCTCTGAGGAACTTTCAATATTTAGAGGAATGTTCAAACTTGAATGTGCAGTACGGCCATTTTCATAATGGAAAAATATGCAGTAGTTCTGTCGTGGCCTTTATAACAATTCTTACTACCTTTTTATGGTTAAGTTAACATTGCCGTTCATGATAGGGGCTACCAATGCTGACATTGACAGAAATACCATTTTGCGTTTTTCTTTTACCAGTATCCCAACCCCAAGGCATAGGCATATGCCTCATCTTTATCAGGACGTAATGTGTTTTGTACACTGCTTTGGTAATCCGTCATTACTTTCATCTACAACCCTAAATGATATGAAATTGCACATTTATTATTTCCTCTCCAGACGACCGCCAAGATTTATTTTGTTGCTTTTTCCAACAAAAATAAAAATGTCAACAAGGATTTGATCTTAATTTTATCAAATACACAACATAATAATTATTCCTCATCATTTTTTAAAAAAATTAGCCTAAATTTATATGTCAATAAAGAATATATAAATAATTTGCATATAAGTTTCATTAGTGTTTAATGGCATTTTTGTAAATTAAATAGATAGCATTTTTTTTACTTAACATAAAAATATAGACAAATAATTTGGGAAATGCAAGACATACATTAAATTTATCCGAAAAGCTACAATAACCCTATATAATAAACAACAATTTTTTTATATATAATTTTATTTGATTATATTACCAAAAAGTATAAGAGTCGGTTATTTTTATTTTATTTGTCATGATTCTCTAATAAGTGGTTTGCCCAGGCCTTCCCAATTTCCCTTAATAGGGAATTCACATGTTTTTTTTTACATCTTAAACTAATTGGTAAATCAGATATTTCCCCTTCATTTGATGATAAATCAATTAAAAATTTAACTATCTCCGAGGTGGGAAAAAATTTTCAAAATTATATTGGATACGACTGGGCTTGGAACCTCAAAATTAATATTAGCTTGCACCTGACGGAATATCTTTTACAAATTATTAAGAGTTGAGCTGGGCTTGATAAACTTTTTTATAATTATATGCTTCCTAATATTGTGAGCTTAGACCTGGCATGACATCTATCGTAAAAAAATGAATAAAAACCTCATTCACGTCATTTTTAACGGGCTTTCTACTAGTATTATTAATTTAGCAATATTTTTATGGGCAAGTACAGGTTTATCTGTATTTTGACCAATTTTTGTCCTGATTTATTATAAAGAATAGAATTATATATTTATCCAAAATTGCCATGAATTTGTTTAGTAACTTTTACACTTTTACATTAGTGGTGTTAAAAAGCCTGATTTGGGTTGATATTTAAAAATGGCCCGATTAAGATTATATCTAAAATAATAAGCCTGGAGATTTTTTTAGATGGCATAAAGGTTTTGACCTCTATTTGCCAATGTCGAGACTTAATAATATTATTCTGGCTAAAATATTATTAAGGCCGTTTTTTTAAATATACCCAAATTGGGCTTTTAACAATTTTTACATCTTGCAACTGAAAATCTTTGAATAATTTTATTTTTTTAAATAATTTTATTTTTTATTCATAATAGAAAAAATTGTTCAAAGTTGAAAAATATATCCGGCATCTGCATTTTTTGGCTTTGGGGGGGGGGGGATTTATCAATAAATTTTTTATATGGTTCAAGGCCAAGGTTGCCAGGTCAAAATTTTTAAATTGCGGGAGTAATATGGTATTTGCTAAAAAAAAATTATTTGCGGGTCTTAGGCCGGGATTTTGAATTGACTTAATTATCCGACTATTAGTTTTTATAATTAGTATATATAAATACAATGTCGGTAACTATTTTTCAAAATAAAATAACATCTTGATTTATTAAAATATTAATTTATAAAAAAAACCAACGTTCCTTTTTAAATATAAAACAATGTAAACAAGATAAAATTTTATAAAAAAAAACAAACGATTTTAATTTTACAATGTAAAAAATATATTTTATGCGAATGTCCCCCGCAAAACATCCGTAATTAGAAATCTACTTTGTGTGTGTGTATAACATTATAGGGATTCACGTATCACGTTTAAATACATAATAAGGTAATATTGTACTCATTTCAATTATATTTATTTTATTTATTACTGTTCAATCACATTATTAATCAGTGCAGGAGAGTGTCTATGCATCCATTGCAAAACAAAAATATTCTCCAAAAATAAGAAATAATACAGATGCAACTACAGTTACGCTTACGGTAATTGTAATCACTTATCTTGTAGTACAACATTCACAGAGCTACTTATCATTATAATGTGTGCCTAGAATCTTTTCTCATAATATTTAACGACTCCAAGATAAATGAAAACTTTACTTGT